CCCCCCCCCCCCCCCCGTGCAAGGTTTGTGACCGTAGCTGCGGAACGGGGCGGTACGGAGATTACAACTGCGGCTGGCGAGGCTACGGTTCGGACTGCCGGTTCTGCTTCAACGACCGCGAGGAAGCCCTGACGGCGAACGCCGTGGCCAAGCGAAGAGGGGGGTCCGTCATCATGTGAGGGCCCACCGTCCGTCCGTCGGCCGTCCGCCAGGGCTGAGTCGGTCCCAGATGACGCCCTCGTCTCACCTCGTGACGGAATGTGTCATCCCTCGGGAGGGCAGCAGCGGATGTTGGGAGGGCGTCGGCCCGTCTGTTGGCATTTATCTCGTGTTCCGCTACGTGTGCAGGCACCTTTTCCCTGGCTCTTTTATATGGCGTTCACGTTTCGCGATCGTGCGCTCCATAACGATCTCATGTACAGAAACAAAGAACACGCGCTCTTTGGCCTCTGCCTGCCTTCCTGCCTGGCTGCGTCTGCCGCAGGTGCCACACGTTCGAGCCGCCCACGGAGGAGGACGAGTGGACACCGCCCATCACGGCGGAGGACGACGATGGTACAATCGGCGGCGGCGATGGCGCTGCTACTGCTGCGGGTGCCGAAGACGCAGCGTCTCCGAAAGTCTTGACGTGAGTCCCATACTATGGACCGAGTATGAGGGTTGCATGGCTGTGGTGCTTCGTGCGCCGCCATGGCGCTCTTTTCGTTTCGTTTCGGCTGTCCTCTACATGTAGTGGCGAAGAGTCTGGTGCGCTGGTGACACGCAGTTGTTGCAGTGCTTGTTACGACGACCGTGTATTCTTTGCGTTTTTTTTGCATGATTTCTAGCCAAAACACGGTTGCCCTTGTTGCCCTTTCCACTGCCGGGAGGGGCGGCGCTACGGACGTGTCACACAGTGTAGGCTTGAGGGATGCAACCGCTGTTTGTGAGACCAGACCGGAACGAGTCGGCAAGCAAACGATGAACATGTCTTTGATGTCGTTGATGGTTTGTCGTTCTATTCCAGGTGGAGTGGGTGGGTTCCGAATTGTGTGGTTTCAAACGTCGCCGTCTCTCTCCCTCTCTCAAACAAACAAACACACGCACGCACGCACGCACGCACACGCACATGTATTCTGTTCACATGGCATTGCTTCCCAACCGAGAGATTACCCACCCCACTCTCTCCTCCCCTCCCCTCCGTTTTTCTCGTTGCTCTCAATTGATCGATTTACGCGGGCGGCTTGGCGCGTCTAGGTCGTCGTCCACGGACGACGACACCCCCTACGACCCGGCGAACGAGCCGTACCTCAAGGACATCACGCGCGGGCAGATCTGCGCCTTCATGACCGGCTTCTCGTCTTTCTTGAAGGAGACCGAGGTTACCGTCAAGAGCATCGTGCAGTTCATGCCCGGGATGCGGGTAGCCATCGCGACCCAAGATCACGATGTCTCGGTGTTCAAAAGGTAAATACAGCAGAACTGCACTCGTTGGACCAGCTGTATTTGGGCGTCAATGAAGTAGCAGAGCGAAGACAACAAGGGTGTTTACTTGTTGTGGTTTGCTTCGTTGAAAGCAACGCGTCTCGTCTTGCTGCATGGTGTGCGTTTGTGGCCAATGCCCCCACCACACACACCTCTGTGTCCCGTAGTTCTTGGCGTACGTTTTTTTGCCCGTACGATGGAGGTTGTACGAGGGCAAGGGAGGGGGGGAGGGTACCACGCTGTTGTTCGTTTGGGGGAGGGCGGGGGGGGCTCGGGGTGTAGTCGTCGGCCGTGCATCTCAATTGAGACAGGGCAACGTCACGTTGGTAGTGGAGTGAGTCGCCGTCGACCTTTGCTTGGACTCTTGGTCCACAAAAGCTTTGTTGTGTCTTGTCCTGCGGTTGTTTTTTTTGTTGCCGATGGTGGTGTTCTCGTTTGTTGATTTTCAACCTGGTCAAGTCATCCTGGTGTACGCTCGCACACACACACACACACACACACACACACGCATGCCTCTTTTCTTCCTCGCTTGCTGATGAAACGTGCTCGATCCGTTCACATTTTGCCGAGAGCGACTGTAGAGGTTGCTTTTCTGTTGAGTTGATTTATTCTTTTTTCTCTCTTGATTGACGATCATGCATGCAACGTCCTTACCGGCGGCCCGTCTTGCGCTTCCCTTCTTGTCTTCGAGCCGAACGATCGCTTTCCGCACGCACTCGAAACAAAACAAAACACGCACACATGCACCTTTCCCTCCTACAGGTCCCTGGGTAACCTACCAGGAGTCGTGATCTCGGAAGCGATCTCGCCCATCACCCTGGCGCCCCTCCTGGCGGATCGGCACTGCGGGAAGGGCACCAAGCTGGTGTTCTACATGAACCCGGGCGAGCTCTTGTCTAGAAAGTTCACGTCTAAGGACACGCACTCGGCTGCAGGCGACCTCCTGGTGGTGTATGCGGAGGTACGTTACGCGTGGTATTCGGTCCTGGCCGCGGGGCTTGGCGCTTGGTAGTATATGTACGACAATGCCAGTGTGGAAAGAGGGGATCGCCATCGACAGACGCTACAGGGAGATGTGACCCTATGTAGAGGTCAGCTCTACACCTCCCTCTTTCTCTACCTCTCCCTCTCTCGCTCGCCCCCCCGGTCCTCTACGGAAACCACGCATGCATGACACGTGCAATATTTCCCGCACACGACAACATGAACGCGCGCTTACACGCAAGTGGTCTTTTCCATGTGAAGACAGATGCCGCTTACATTTAGTGCTTGTTTCAAGAAATACGAAACACGGCGGGCGGCCTTCGCACGTGCAAAAAATTTTCCGGGTGGAAACTCGAATTCCATCAACAAGCTCGCAATTCAATTGTTTGACCTCGTCACGTTTCTTGCCCTTTGGCTGCCTATCGTGGCGATGGCAGCGGCGATGCGCCCTGTTATGACGGGGGTACTCTGTGTGGAGAGCGTATTCTACGCTTTGCGCTTTTGCAACAACTTTCGTATGTACGGCGTGTTGATCTGCAACCTCGATTTGTTTTTTCGGACGACTTGTTTACCGGGCACGCGATAACAACTCGCCGCGCAGGTTGTAGAATACTTATTGTGTTGGGGAGCGTACGCTCTACACTTCCAACTTCGTGTGTACACCACGTATGTATCTACAACCTCGTGTCGTGTCGTGTTGTGTTCGTCCTACGACTTCCAGCAAAAAAAAAACTTTTGTGCCGCACACAACACGCGCGCAGGTGGGTCGGGTCGGCGAGGCAAGCGCAAGGCGCGCGCTCGCCACCATGTCGGTGCTCGGGTTCAGCAGCCCGTCGTTCTCGTTCGGCATGGATATCATGCTGCCCGTGCACACGAACGGGCAGCTGCGGGAACTGCTGCTCTCGGACCCCGGGGCGACCGGCAAGGGCCTCGACAGGGAGTCGCAGGCGGTGCACGCCCTGGGGAAGTTCTCGGGCGTGTTCGTACCAGAGGTGAGGGAGAGAGAGAGAAAGAGAGAAAGAACAGCCAAGAGGAGAGGCTTGGGTGCTTGGTTAGTCGCTGTGCTTGATCGATCCGAGCTTTGGGGGGGGAGGGAGATGCTGATGGGGGGATTGTGTGGTTGTGGCAGCCGGGACCGTGAAGGCCTTCTTGAGACGTGGAGAGGGGGGGGCGTTCTGCACTGCTGCCGAATGTTCACACCCACTCAAAAACCCGAAAAGAATATTTCACTGCCCGAAGAAGCCGTATCTCCTACCTCCCTAACCTAACCCCAACCAATGTACTCCCAAACCAATAAAAAAAAAACAGGTTCTGGCCGCTCTAGCGTACTCCCTCAACGAGCCGGGCCTGTGGTTCATCAACCCACAGCAGTGGGTGACCCACCACATGTTCCAGCAGGCTTCGATCTGGGACATCCCGCTGGTGAAGCCGCGGTTCGGCTGCGCGTTCGACATCTCCATGGCGGCGCAGGGATACGACGTAGCCGCCGCGCTGGAGACGCATCTGGGCCACTTCATGAGCGGGTCCGCCTGCGAGCGGGGCTTCATCCCCCTGGACCACGCGTCCCTCAAGCCGAAGCCGAACATCGAGTTCGGGTACCCGACTGGGCGCGAGATGCCGTCCATCTCGAAGCTCCGGCTCCGGGTCAGCGTCATCTTCTGCGTCGGCAGGGGGGTGAGCCCGACCCTCCTGGACGCCTCGATCCTGAGCGTGGAGGCCAGGTTCCCCGAGGCGGCGGAAGTGGTGGTGGTGTTCACGGAGCCCCCGGCGAAGCGCGCGGCCCTGCGGGAGATCCTGAAGATCCGCAGCGAGAGCGCGCCCTTTCCCGTGGAGGCGATCGAGGAGGACGGGCCGATCGGGGTGTCGACAGACGGCGGCTGGCCCGGATGGTCAGGGCTCCGCGCGGACGACTACGCGTCGGGGGACTTCGTCATGCAGCTGGACGCCGGCGACCTCCTGGTGACCGACGTTACCTACGACAACATCTTCCACTTCGGGAAGCCCGTGATCCCGTTCAAAAGGCTTGCGCTGGGGATTGGCGGCGGCTCAGGCGGCTGGGCTAGCAGTGAGTGGAAGGGCGTCTTTCAGTATATAATAAGGGGTAGCGTGGGCGCGACGGGGGG